AAATTAGATAATAATTTAATTACTTATCTTTCCTTTTAAATATTTAACAAAAGCTAATATCTATAGAAATTTACAATTTCAAATAATTTAATTTAACAAATTCCTGAGGAAATAACGAATTGTTAAAATTTACAAATTTTGGATGTTTCCTATAATAAAATCTAGAAAATAAATTCATATATAGGTTCATTAAATAGTTTAACAGTCCTTTTTATAAACAACAACGAAATCACTTTTTTTCCTAAAGATTCATTAGGTTAAAACATTAAATTATTATAATTAGACTGGTTCAAATATTGTAATCCTCCTTTAAATATTTTATAAATTATAGGAGAAGAGCCTTTGAGATAATTAAAATAAATAACTAAAACTTATAAGGAATTTTCTTTCGAATAATTTGTTAATTATTTTTCTTAAAAAACTTTTTCTTTTACAAATTTTTCTTAAAATCTCTAAAATTAAACTTTAATGCATTTAGCTTGTGAAAATGAAAATTTGGGTGTAATTTAATGTTTATATAATATGAATAGTCTTTTAATTAATTAAACTGATAAAAATAATCATTCACCACTTTCTTATTGTATACTTAAAGAAAAATACTTCTCAGCTAAAAAATTACTTTTTTTAGGAGCAAATGCGAATGGTGGAGGTTCCGAATTCGGTTCTCCGTTAAATATTGCATGTATAAAAGGATAAATTTACCTCATTTAGGATTTAATTAATAAAGGGGCGAAAATAGATACTTAAGACATTGATGGAAATACTTCTTTTCATTATTTAATGACTGTATTTTCAAGAGATGTTTTAAATTCGACAAAGATTTGCGAACTTTTATTAAATAAAGGTGCTAATCCGAATATTAAAAATAAAGATGGGTGGACTGGTATACATTTGGCTGTTCGAAGAAACTAGATTAATGCAATTTAATTTGCTATAAATTATAATAATAGTATAAGGAAATAGAATGGGGTTTAAATTTTAATTGATTTTGAGATAAAAGGGGGAGATTTAATGAATACATGTTTACATTTGAGTTGTTAGTCAAATAATATTGATTGTTTTGGGATTTTGTATAAATTTTGTAATTTATTTTCTTTAAATTTAGAAAATAAAATATGTTATAATTTATGTTCTAAAGGCAGCTTTTTATATAAATTGGCAAAAAATATTATTAATTTAAGAATTTATCAAGATTTATAATTATTAGGAACTAATAATAATTTTAGTGTTTTTTTATTTGAAGATGTAAATTTCAATAAGAATAATGAATTAGTTTTTGAATAGAAATATAAAGAAGGAAAAATAAATAAAATTAATTGTTATTTTAATGATTTAGAAGTCACTAATCCTTAATAGGAAAAATAGTTTAATTCTCCTTAAGAAACTAAAGTATTTTCTTTTAATTAGTAAAGGGTTTTAATGAATTAGAGAACTTTTTCGAAAAAAGAATAAGGTTAAAATATAAAAGACGATAATGAAGAAGATTTAAAAGATGAAATGGATATGGAAGAAAATAATAATATATAGTAAATTATGAACTCTTCTTTTTAATAATAGAATATTAATAATTATAATTTTAATAATGAAATTACTTTTTAACCTAAATTTAATTTTTAGAATTTAGAAAGTGCACCGAAATATTATTGTGCGCCTAAATTACATACTGGAAAAAATTAAGAAGTTATCAGAATTTTATAAACAGGATAAAATATATTAAATTTAATGAAAACTGTAATTATTTAGTATTAGAATTAGTTAATTGAAATGATTTCTAATGTTTAAGAAAAATATAAAATTATTAGTTTTATGATAAAAAGTTGCATTGAATGTATTTAAAAATGGCAGTGTTTTTTAGATCAATACAAGAATTACAAAATATATATAACTACAAAAAATATAAGTATTTAGAAATTAATTATATAGACTTTTTTTTTAGGTATATATAAAATGAATATGTAATAGTTCCATTTTGGGAACTTAATGAGAATTATAGAAGACAATAATAATAATATTGAACTTAATAATCAGAATAATAAAAAAAGATAAAATTAAAAAGTTACTAAAGAAAATAATTCAAATTTTAAGAATAATATTAATTAAAAAATTTGTAAACTATCAATATAAAATTATTAATAACAAGAAAAATATAAAAATGAGAATTATATTGTAAAGGATTTCCTTATTTCATCATTATTTAAAATATAGAAACTTTCTATATAAGATATAGAATTTATAAAAATATAAAGTATTTAAGAAAACATATTATCCTAATATGAGTGTTTGTAATTAATAAGTTATACGTATAATTAATAAAATTAGTATTAATATAATCAATAATAAAAGTAAAAATAATAAAAATAATAATAATAATAATAAAATCATAATAATAATAATAATAATAATAATAATAATATAAATATAAATAATAATACTTTTAAAGAAAAAATTGTTGGAATAATATTAATCAATGTTAATAGCAATAATATTAAATTTAATAAGAAAGCCTAGATTAAGTTTATCATAATGATGAAGCTGTTATTACTTAGAAATCTTTTGAAAGTAAAATTATTTAAATTAAAAGAAATTACAGATCTTATTCAGATTATGTTTGAAATTTAATTTTTAAATTTGTATTATTTGTGTATATATATAATTATAATTGTATTGCATTGTTAATAATAAATATATATATATATTATTTTTTTCAAATTTTTTTAATTTCAAATCCTAAGCAATTTAGTTATAAATCATTTGAATTTTTACTTTCTGTACATAAATCAATAGCTCCAAAGACTGTAATAGGTATCTAAAACTTATTAAATTCTATAATTTTAGCCAAAGCACCCCTTTTAGGCATTCCTACTTCTAAAATATTATCAAAATTAGTTTTAATTTTAATATAATTAACTGCATCTCCCTATTCATTCATATAAGCTTCAAATGTATCAATTTTTTCATTTAAATTAAATGTTAATTAGCTTTCTTCTGCAAATTTTTTTCTTATAGAATTTACATTACAAATTCCTTCCAAAATCTCATTTCCGCTTTTATAAAATACTTAGTAGCCATAAATAGAACTTTCTTTCCAGAAAAATATTATTTTTTAAATTCTATGTTCCACACTGTTTAAACCAATAATTTCAGCATCATCACCTGTCACACTATCCTAAATTGGTTATTTTCCCAAATATTTCCTTATGGTACCCCTTTAGGCTGTTTCGATTAGATTTTCATTGACTAAGTGATTTTATTAGGAAGAATTTAGTTTATTTTCATCTTATTAATGTTTAGTTGATGGAAAAACAGAAGATATAATATTATTTTAATTATTTTCTTTTTAAGGAGAACATTTTGCTTAAACGATTTGTAATTATTAATAAGTAGAGTGTAAACTATCTTCTAATTATATTTTTTTAAATAATAAATTACGATTTTATACACTTTTATTAGTCGAATCAGACCTATTATTATTAGTTATATTATAATTATTTTCTATTAAAGAGAATTATTCGTATTATTATTTAGAAGCAAATTTAGTTCTTTTTTTCATTTCTTCATATTTTTATTATGCTAGTTCTATTTCTTTAATTTTTTCTTTAATTTAATGTTAGTATTTATTTTTTTCGTATTCGAATTCGAGTTTTTTATCTTATATTGTTTTTTATTTTTAAGCTTGTATTTTTTACAGGTTTTCTAAAGCGATTTTTATAATGTTTTTTTTATTTACTAAATTTTTGTAGTTATCGAAATTAATTTATAATTTATCAAATTCATCATCTTAATTTAGTATTTATTTCAAAGATTATTTTTTTTAATATGTATGAGCTGATTCTTGAGATATAGCCTTACTTTATTAAAATCGATTCCTTTTTTATTATAGGTTTAAATTAGGCTCTTTTATGTTTAGTTTTTGACAATTTGATTTCATAAGTTATATATAGAATTCTTTTTTGGAGTAATTTTCCTCGTTTTATGTATATAAGTCTTCGAGTTTTTACTTTTTTTCTCTTAAAGATAATACTTCGGCTCTATATACGTTCAATCTGCTGTTAATGTCATCTTAAGCTCTTAACGTGTTTATTTGTTTTTCGTAATCTCTATTAGATTTTTCTATTTTGCGAGTAGTTTTTTAAATAGAAAGTATTTCTTTTTACCCTAATGAATTTTATTCTTCATACCGATATATTTAATCTAATAAATTAGATGAGTCAATAGGTAAGCTTTATAATTTATCGAGCTCTCGTTTGTAATAATTAAATTGATTCTGTGCATTTATATATTCTTTTTCTAATTGGTGAAGTATTTTTTATTCTTCTTATTCTGACATGGGGGCAGGTTGGGTAGGCTTTAAGTCTTTTTTTTTTAAATTTCTAGTATTAAGAGTTCTAGTTAGTCTTTTAATTTATATACTTGGGTTTTTAATTTATATATTGTTTCTTCGTTTTTAGTTATTTCTTCTTAAAGTTCGTCTTTTGATTTATAGATTATTTATTTTTTGCTCATTTTTTTATTTTTAAACAAAAATTTATTTATAATTATAGTATAATTTGTTTGTTTTTTTTTTTTCAAATTTTTTTTATTTGTATTTATACAATTATATCTATTTTTTAATTATTTTATAAAAAAATAAAAATAAAATTTATTGTTTTAAAAAATTGTTTCATATTATCATATTTTAATTTAAAAAATAAATCTAATTATAATATAAATTAAATAATAATTATAATTGTTTATAGAAGACAAATATTATATATATTCTGTAGTTCATTTAATCTTGTTTATAATAATATATTAATAACTAAATATATAATATTTTTTAAAAAAATATATTTATTTATAAAAAAAAAAAAAAAAATACTTATTAATAATTAATAAATATAATTTAATTAAAATATTTTTTTATATTATAAATATATATTTTTTTTAATTTTTATTTAAAAAAAAAAAAGTTAAATAAAATAATAATACTTAATAAATCTTCATTAAAATATAAAAAACTTTCATTATTAAGAAAATGCCAATTACTAATCTTCCGAACAACTTAAAATATAACTCGAATATTATCCAAATCTATAAAATAAAAAATATATAATAAAAATAAAGTATATTATTACCTTATTTAATTAATTTTCGAATTATGAAATTTCCCTTAAGACAAACAACTCCATTTTTTACATTCAACAATTTTAATTTACCCTTATTAATTTCCTAAAGCAATTACACTTCCTAAATCATCAAATTAAACTGCTGTGTAATTAAATTTATCCCCTTCACCTCCAAAACTGCACGCAGTATTTCCTTTTCTCAAATCCCATATGCTAATAGTATTCGCATCTTCACTTCCAGCTACAAAGAAATATCCATTTTCACAAAAGTTTATCATGTTAATATTTTCTTTACCCTTTTCTAATTCTAGGCTTGCCATAATTTCGTTTCCAGCAATATACCACAACTTAACTTAACCACTGGAGCCTCCTATAGCCATAATATTTCCATCTGGGTGTATTTATAGGCTTTAAATATCAATTTGTGAAACAAATTAATTAATTTATCCACACATATTTTTTTAACTTAAATCAAAATATTAAATAAGCCCACTCTAGCAAGCCAAACATAATAAAATACCGTTAGGATGTACTGAAAATGTATTAAAATTTTCATTTGTGGACTAAAAAGAATACACTTTAGTTAATTTTTCCTATTCCCAGAAGAACTAATAGAGATGAAAAGATTTTTATTTTAAAACTATAAATTCAATATTTTCACCATTATTATCTACATCAGATAAATAATTTTATATATTAAATTAAATTCCCAAAACATTATTGTCTTCTTCAGTAATACTTTTTTCTTAAAATAAAATTTTATTTGTACTACAATCAAAAAGTGCAATTTCTCCTTTATTACTAGAGAGTACTAATAATTCTTATTTTTGATTATAATCCATATATTTTGGGAATAAATCTTCTTTTTAGAATAAATTAAATACTTGTTTTGGGTTATAAGATGATATAGAATCTACAGTATGGAATTTATTTATATAATCAGCGTTTTTTTTTTGCTCTTTTCTCTAAGAATTTAACTTTAGAGCTGTTTCATTTATTGATCTTAACATTTTTTCGCTTAAATGTTTTTGTTATTTCGATTCTATTTCCATTTTATTATTAGTAGTATTTATTTATTTAAATTAATCCACGTTGTCTTATAATTTTTATTATAACTGAGTTAATTGTGATCTTGCTTCATCTCTTTCTTTTATTAATCTGTTTATTACTCTGCAAGCTGCGTCGTATTAGAATAATGAATGTTAGAGTTCTTAACGAAGCGTTTCTTAATGTTATTTTAATTCATAGCTTTCAATAATTAATTAATCCCATTCTGATTAAAAAGTATTCAAAATACCAGGTATTGATGTACATGTTAATGGTCTGGGTTTTTTTATAAGGTGGCTTTTTTTTTATTGTTATTAAAATATATATTTATATATTTATATTATTATTATTTTTTTAGATTTTTTTTTTTGTGTCTACTTTAAACAGGAAGTAAATCTTCTTTTGTTAGTTGTTAATTGGTTATTGGATCTGTGCCAGATTGTTCTATGTATTTTTCAATTATTCGGCGTTCGTATATGTGTCCTGTTTTTTTAGATATTACTGGATCAGTTAATTATTCACCTGTTATTGAGCAATAATTCCAGGACATTTTTATTAATATATTAAATATTTTTAATTTTTATTAAATTATAAAATAAAAATAAAAAAATTTAGAAGATATATTTTTTTAACTTTTTAATTAAATTAATTTATAATATTTTTTTAAATTAAAAAACATTTATTATTTTATAACTTCTTGTAAAAAGAATTAATTATATTAATAGAAAGTTTTTTTATTATAAAAATAATATTAAATTTATTGTATAATATAATTTTTATGTTAGATTTATTTTATACTAATCTATAATTATATATATATTTTTGTTAATTTATGGGATTTTAAATTTTTAAAGTATAATATATTTTAAATTATATTTTCTAAATATATAAATAAAAATTTAAATCATAAATATAAAATTAAATTTAAAAAAATATAATGTTAATGAAAAATAATATATAGATAAATAAAATTTATTAAAATAAAAAACAAATAATATATATAAATATTTAATAATAAAACATAAATTATTATAAATATATATATATATATATATATATTTAAGAAGAAAAAAAATAAAAATTAAAAAATAAAAATAATAAATAGAGTAATAATTAAAATAAAAAAATACATTTAATTTTTTTAAAAAGATATATTATGAATAATCTTGATTAAGATATAGGTGACAAAAATGTTAACATTTAAAATAAAAAATAGTATAAATTATCCGAAACTGAATATGAATAACCTATAAATAATTTTTATAAAACAAACTATTAAAAAACAAGCAAGACAGAAAAAAAATTAAATAATTAAAATATTAAAAGTAATATAAAAGAAGAACAAATAAGTAAATATTTAATAAATCTATAAATTTATTTTTAAAAGGTTAATAAATTTCTGAAAAACCATAAGATTTTAACTTTTAAGAGCAAAAATATAAATATGAATAATCAAATGATTCTTTAACAAACAAAGAGATAAATGATAATAATATAATTAAAGAAAAAATAAATTATTAAATATACTAAAATAATATACAAAGTATCCAATTTAAAAATTAATAAATAGATTAACATAAAAACTATTAACAATTAAATTAATAATAATAGTAAGAAAAATGTTATTAATAAAATTAAAATTTAATTTCAAATTAATAAAACTAAATTCCCCAATATATATAATAAAATGAGATTTAGTAATAATATTTAATGAGCTAATAACACAAATAAAAAATATTATCTTAGCAATAATAGTAATAATAATAATAAATTAATTCTTAATTATAATAGACATAACAATAAATTTAATAATAAAATAAATAATAACCTTAATAACAATAAATATAATAATAGTAAACATAATAATAATAAAATACTAGTATATAATAATAGTAATATAATTAGTATAATTAATAATAATAAACATACAAAAAACCTGTTTTTAATGAATTATTATAGAATGGATAGAACAGTTTTAATTCTTAAACTTCCTTATTGTATAACAATTAACAATAATAACTTTGTATTCCTGCGCAATAATATTAAAATAACCAATAACAAATTCTAAAATAATAAATAAATTAATAAAATTTATTGTAAAATTAAGTAGAGAAAGAAGAATTATAATAATAATATTAATAATAATAATAATAATAATAATAATAATAATAATATTAATAATAATTTTAATAGCAATAGCAATAACAATAATAATATCAATAATCATAACAATAGCAATAAAAAAAAGAGTAAAAAAAATAATAACTAAATCAATAATAATAACCATAAAAATAAGAATAACAATAAAAATAAGATTAAAAATAACAATAAAAATAAAAATAATAAATTTAATAGTAATAAAAATGTGAATATGAATAAAAATAAGAATAAAAATAATAGTAACAATAGCAAATGGAATTTGAATAACCATAATAATAAATATAATAATAAGAAGAGGACTAAGAGAAAGAATAAGAATAATAAGTACAATAATTTTAATAATAATAATAATAATAATAATAATAATAATAATAATAATAATAATAATAATAATAATAATAATAATAATATTAATAATAAAAATAATAATTATAATATAAATTAAAATAATAATTAGAATAATTATAACAATAAGAATAAGCAATTGATTAAGAAAAATAATAAGATTAAGAATAAGAATAATTTATAAAATAAGTTTAAGAATAAGAATAATATTAATAATAAGAATAAAAATAAGAATAAGAATAAACAATAGATTAAGAAAAAGAATATGATTAAAAATAACAATAACAATAACAATAATAATAATAATAATAATAATAATAATAATAATAATAATAATAATAATAACAATAATAATAAATGTAACAATAGCAATAATAATTACAATAATAATAACAATAACAATAATAGTAACACTAATAATTATAGTAACACTAATAATAACAGTTATAATAACAATAATAATAATAATAATAATAACAATAATAATAACAATAATAATAATAATAATAATAATAATAATAATAATAATAATAATAATAATAATAATAATAATAATAATAAATTTAAGATTCTATGAAATATGATTCTGAAGCAAAAAGTACTATGATATTAAATGATGATTCTAAATGGTTTTCATTAGATAATGATGAAATATTTTAGTTAAGATAAGAAAGTTTGAAAAAATCATTCAATATTATAGTTTCTTAATTATAATATGAAAGACATAACTTCTTTAAAATTAAAAAATAAGGTATATAAATTAAAAATGGTGAAAAATAAATAAACATTGAATATGAAAACTTTACCTAATAATTATAAAAAATAAACTATAAACTTAAGAAAAATTTTCAAATTAAATAATTTGAAAACAAAAATAAAAAGAAAATAAAAATTAAAGAAAAATATTTTTTAAATAAATTAAAATAATTTTAATTGGATTTTATTCAAGATATAGATATAATAAAAGATTTAGGATATTTAAAAATTAATTATAAGTATAATTAATAAATTAAAATAATTAATAAATTGAATAAAAAATATAATAATAATAATAATAATAATAATAATAATAATAATAATAATAACATTTATAATAAGTATAATCCTAAACTCATCCATAAAATTAGCAATAATTACTTATTTAACCGCATTCTTTATAATCATAATCACTCTAATAATAATAATTACAATTATAATAATAAAACACTAAGTTTCAGATGAATTATAATATAATTTTTATTAATAAAAAGTAAATAATTTAATTGAAAATAAAATCTTACAAATACATAATAATTAACTTATAAATAATAACTCATCTTTATAGAAATAAAATAGTAATAATTAATAATAATTAATATAATTATAAAATAAATAAATATCTTTTGATCAAGCTTAAAATGTTGTACCTGTATAACTTTAATAATCTAATTAAATAAATTCCTTCGCTTAAAAAGGATAATAATTTTAAAGATCACCATATCTATAACAACAATAATAATAAATGTAATAATAGCTTCAATAATAGTAATTTAAATAGCAAATTTAAAATATTAGTGAGTATGATTAACTTATATAATAATAGAAGATGAAAAGTAATTAAAATTAAAGTCAATATCCGTAAAATTTTTAAAATAGTTAAAATATGTAATAAATTAAATAGAACCCTTTAAATATTGATATTAATATGCAAAAAATGAAAAACTTTAATTATTAAAATATGCAATAATTTTAAAATTTATAATTAGAATAATAAAATAGAGTTAAACAATAACACGAATATTTAAACTAATAATAGCCTTAAATATCTTGTAATTAATATATATTTATCGTAAAAATTTAATTGTATAAATATATTTATTTATAGTTTTAAAATAAGAGAAATAATAATTTTAGACATTAGATAAAATAGAAAATAAAGAATAGTATTTTGAAGAAGAATAATAATATGAAAATATAGCATAATAAAAACTTTAATAATAATATTAATAATGACTTATATTTTTTTAATTATAAAAAAATAATACATAATTATAAGAAAAAATAATATTTTGTGAGATAATAAATTAATGATAGAATTATTTAAAAAGAAAATATAATTTTTATATATATATTAACACATAGTAAAAATAAATAATTACATTTTATAAAAGCATTAATTTAAATTCAAAAAAAATTACTATATTTGCTAGTTATTTATGAGTTCATTTATTTTAAATCAAGTAGTTTTTTTTTCTGTTTTTTCTATGTAATGTTTTATTATGCTTAATTAAAAATTTCTCTTTTTTAATTCATAACATAGTCAATATATTATAAATCAATACTTTTACTTCTTGGATGTTAGGACATTTCTACTTTAGAAATTTTCGGTTAATTTATAAATTATTTAATTTTATTATAAAAGGACATATTTTTAAAACTTTAATACTTAGAAATTAAATCATTACATAAAGTATTTTAAGTTTAGTATAAAATAAATTTCTAAATTTATTATTTGCTATTATTAATATTAGCATCTTAATGATTATCAATATGCTATTATTTATTTTAATTTTTAATACTTTTTTAGATATTTTTTTTATTTTTAATTTAATAATTTTCAAACAAATATTAATTTAAGGTTTATAATTAATCTTATGATTTGCTAATTATTATCCCTTTTTTTCTTAATTCATTAGTTTTTTATAAACTAATTTTTTTTCTTTTTTCTTATTGTCATCGTTTTATTATTTAAGTTTACTTTTAATACAATTTTGGATATATTTTTTTACTATAGTAAGCTAATTAGTATTTTAAAACTTATCTATATTATTTATATCTTCAAATATTTTTTATTAATATTCTGATTATTATTTAATTTATTTACATACTTCTGAAATACTTTGTTTATTGTTTTCATATTTATTTTATTTTTAACTCAAATTTTTTTTTAATTATTAAAATTATGCTATGTCAATCTAATTAGTTTAATATTTTTATATATTATTTATATTATTATATTTGTTTTGACTATTTTATAATTATTTAAATTATGTTTCTTAAGATTCTATTTTATATTATAATTTTTCTATATACAATTTTAATTATTATTAAATGCGAATATGTTAGCGTACTTCTGCTTCTAATTTTTATAATTAATTTTCATATTATTTACAATTAACACATAAAATTTAATGTTAACTATCATTATTATCTATTTAATTAGTGTTAATTTTTCTATCTTAAAGTTAAATTTATAAATTGTTATTTAATTATATAAGCTCCTCAAAAAACATATCTATAATTTAAATTATTTAATCTTTTTTAAAGTTTAATGGATTTTCAGGGTTGATATTAAATAAAAGTTTATTTTATAAAGTAATTATTATATCCTAAAAAATAATATATAACCATATTTTTTTTTATAAAATTATTTTAAAATAAATATATACATATATATATATATATTCATAAAAAATTATAAATTTAATACTTAATTCAATTTTTTATATAAGGATTTTAATAATTAAAATAATTGTAAATTTTCTTTTTAATTATTATTATTAATTTTATATTTTTCTATGGGAACTTTATCTAAGCTATTTTTTGACTAAAACTTTTATAAATTGTTTTTATTATTTATATATTATTATTATTTATTTGATTTATAATCAATTGTTGATTATTTATCTTTTAAGATATCTTAATCTATGTTTTATTTTATTGTTTTGAATATCTTTTTATATAAAATTATAAATTTAAATTACTTGTTTAGTTTATTTATAAATTACTAGATTTATTTAAAGGTTTAGATAAAAACATTATAATTATGTCAAATTCAAAATTAGATTTTTAAAGAAAATTTAATAAAAATTTAAATACAAAAAAAAGTCTTTTTTTTTTTATAAACACAAATTTTAAATATTTATTAATTTATATAAAAAAAAATATTTAATATAAATTAAATGTATTTAAATTAATAATTTGTATATTCATATTTTTAATTATAATAGTTTTTTATATATAAATTAATAACTAATATATTAATCATAATCAAATATATAAATTAATTTTTTCGTTCGTTAAAAAAGTAATCAATTTAAATAATATTTAAATAGAAAAAAGATATGTATTAGATAACTCCTATATATAATGCATAAATTTGCCCCAAATGTGGGAGTAATTAACCTTGTACAAAAATATGTCTAAACAAAAAATGCGGAAAAGAATATTTATCAATAATATGTATTTTTTGTCATAAGGAGGCTCATTTTATAGCCAGAAATTAATTTCCAGATATAGACTTAGACATATTTTTATTTGATTTTACAAATTAATTAGGAATAATAGAAGATGATGAAAATAACTAATACCACAAAGTAATTTCTATAATAAATTAAGGTTTAGAAAAGATAAAATAAATAATACTTCATTAAAAGGAATAATAAGATAAATTAATAAGTTTAAAAGATGATTTTATATCTCCTTCTTAGAAAGCAAGAATGATAATAGATCAAATTCAAAAAGACAAAACTAGCTAAATAAATGTAAACATGAATTTAAAATAATTATTCAATTTAGCTCAATATAATAGGAGATTAATTAGTTGGGAAAATGACTTGAATTTTATTAATGCTTCGAAATAAATAAATGCCTAAAATTTGAAATCAGATTAAATTTTATAAGTTTTTTAAGAAGATACTGAAATGTTAAAACAAAAGAAAATTTAGGAAGATCTTAAATTAAAATAGTTGAAGGAAAATAGTTATATATTAGAAAAATTCAGCGAAAGAGAAAAAATTAAATAAGATTTCGTTATTAAATGTAATGAATATTTATAAATGTATGGAGTTCCATGGAGATGGACTAAATACTAAGATATATGTATCAAAATGGAAGAATATGAGGACTATAGGTCTGAATGTATTAAAAATATAGTTAATAATCCTTCCAAAATGTAATCTTATCACAACTTTGTGGAATTTTTTTAATGCTAGTTTAGACATAATAATTATAATTTGAATTAATATGATTGCTTTTGTTGTGGGAAATGGAGATATAATTGTTATTGTAATAGTTTTAGTTGCTGTTGTTAAAGTGGAGCGGATATATATAATTTTATTTGTATACCTTTTGGGTAATTAATTAGAGGGTGCTTTAGTTTTTTATGTAAAAAAAATAAATAATTGTACGATCTGGGAGACGGAAAATTACTCTAAGAAGAAAAAGGAGAAGAATTATATCAATATTATAAATAAATTAAGGAAATTTTAGATGAATGAGAATTTACATTTATTTTAAATTCATATGTATTTTTTGTATTTTCATAAAAATAATATATATATAAATATATATATATATATATATATATATATATTATAAATAATTTAAATAATAACTTAATTTAGTTATAAATGATAATAGTTTTTAATAAAAAAAAAAATCATGATAAATAATTTATTATATTTATACATATATATCATAGATTTTATATTTTCGATTATATTTCCTATAAAATTGATAACTTAATATGAATATTTTTTTTTAATAATTGGGAAATTGAATAATACAACTTGATAAAGATAGTAATTTTATGAAAAAAATAAACTTCTATTTTTTTAAATATTTTTTAAAAATTCTTTAACTAAAATAATTAACAAGAAAAGTAAAAAGTTAATTAAAGCTTTTTAATAAAATTCTTCAAATGTAATATATAAAATGTTATTAAATAAAAAAATATAAATAGCTAATGACTTAAATGAAAATATATATTTACAAATTCCAAATGAATATGTTAAGCATTCTAAAATATTATATATTAAAAAAAATAAAATGAAAAATATTAATATTATTATATTTTATTTATAAATATATATATAAAAATATTATTTATTTTATATTATTTTAAATAACTATATTTTATTCAAATGATTTGTAATCTATAAAATTAATTTACAAAAAAAAAAAAAACCAAAATATTATCTCTATACTTATTAATTCTTAAAATTAAATTAATTAATATTTTTCTGTAAATTATATTATATAAAAGTTTAAAATACATTATTTTTATTATCCTCTTCTTAATGAATTTATTTTAACTTTAATTTAATTCATTTAATAAATTTATATTTAATTATCTAAATTAACAATATAATTTTTAAATTATTTACTATTATATAATAATTTTTTAAAAAATAGCATTATTATATTGTCAGCTTTTATTTATTAGCAAATTATATGTATATGTTTTTAAAATAAATAGTTAATTACCGGTTCTGTAGTATAGCGGTTAGTACTGGGGACTCTAAATCCCTTGACCAGGGTTCGAATCCCTGCAGGACCTTTTTTTTAAAAAAATAAAAATTAATATATCTAGTTAAAGTAATAAAATGTTAATATCAAAAGAATAAAAGAAAAAGATTTCTGTTTAAATAAATATTTATAAAATTGAAAAACTTTATTATATTTTTTATAATTTTATTAAAAAAAAATATATTTGAAATATTTAGTGACCCAATAAATGTAAAGCCACTCGTAAAAATATCTATATCTAAAAAAATTATATCAGAATAGTGTAAATACAAATGAATTACATTTTTTAGTTTAATAAATGTGAATAAATCTTTTTTTCTAAATAAGATGATAAGCCTTAATGGAAAAATTTAAGAGTTTGTATATAAAAAGAATGACAAATATATAATATAATTATATAAAGCTAATTTAAGAATACAATAAAGTTTTGAGTAATTAAACACTTTATTAATGATTTTTTTGTTATAATTTATTAAAAGGGGAATGAATAAAATTTATTAAAAATTTCAGATCCAGTGAAAGTTTTATTTAGGCAATCAATAGATATGGGTAATAAATTATTTACTAAAAAATTTAAATTAAAAATAAAAATTATAAATTAATTTTATTTATATAAAATATTTTTTTATAAATATAAAAGATGTTAATTTTATGATTTATTAATAATATATAGAAATTTGTTTGAGGTAATACAAATAAGCAAACTGTTTTTTTTCGTAAGATTTTTAAAATAGAGGTTGTAACTCTATTGAAGTCATAATATTATTATATTTATTTTAGGTAATATAAATTTAATATTAATACAATTAAAATTATTATAATAAAAAGTTAAATTATCAAAAATTCTTTATATTTTCTACAAGAAATTATGAACGTAGATAAATTAATATTTTGTAAGAATTCGAATATAAATATGATTAAGACGCATGTGATTTAGTGATGTATTGGTCTGATCTTTTACCTTTATCATCTGCTTTAAATTATAAATTTATAGGTTTACAAGATTTCTCCTGATTTTAAAATCACTTCAAGATATTAGAAGAGTTTATACATTTAAAGAACTGTCTAAAGGTAGGCTTATTTTACGATATTTTAAGAATATATCCTGATTATAATGAAAATGGATACTCCTTTAGTTAATGTTTATAGATAAAATAAAGTGAGAGGTCGTTCATTTTTTTTTTTTTTTTTTTTTTTTTTGGAAAAAACATGATAAACAATTCTTTTAGATGATAATAATTTAATATCTGTAATTAAAGCACACAAAGCTCTTAATTAGAAAGATATAAAGTATAAAAAATTATATCTTTACAAAATAAAATAAAAAATAATGGCATAAATGGAATGAATAAGATTATCTAAAATAACTAAACTTCATAAAAAACTTTAAGTTAAATAATTTTTAATTATTTAAAAAAATATAATCAAAATAATTAGAAGAAAAAAATGAGAAATATTTATAAAACTAAAAAATTTTATTAGATAATAAAATTCATAAATTATTATTATTAGAAGAAGGTAATACAAAAATTTAAAAATAAAATAAGTATTATTTAATTAATTTAAATATTTTTTATTTAAATAGCTTTACAATAATTTGAAAAAAAGTTAAATAAAATGATTTATAAAATAAAAAAAGGTCTAAATTTAGTCTTAATATTGAATAAAAAGATTTCATATAATCTTTTAATGAATACTATAGTCTTTTTTGTTCAATATTAAATTTTATTTTATAATACTTAATTTATAATTAATTTTTTAAAAAAAATTAAAGATTTCAAACAATGATAAACTAAATATATACCATATTAAAATTTATAGATTAAAATAAATAATTTTATAATAAAATAAAAATTATTATAATTTCAAATTTTTAATACTGTCGTTTCTATATTTTTTACATATTTATTAAACTTTTTTATTATATTGTATTTAAACAACTAATTCTTTATATTATTATTTTTATATTACGTGCATATATTATATGTTTTTTTATATTTCGGTTAAATCATGTTTAGATTTTAAAATAAATATTTATTTTAAAGCCTATTTTTTTAAAAAAATATGTATATTATGATTTTTTAATATAAACCTCTTTTTTACAAATATTTTTTATATAGTTTCCCAATTAATGTTAATTAAATATCAAGTTTTCGAAAAACCCATTTATTTTAATAAATAAAATCACAAATTGAAGCAAGAATATACTAGTAAATAAAATCAAAATTTTAAATAGTTAAAATATAAAATTCTTATAAGTAATTTAATCTTAAATACATTCATTACCTTCTTTAGTTTAAAAAAATCAATTGTAATTAATTTCTTAATATTAGATTCTCTAAATTATATTTTTGTTTTTATAAAAAAATTATTATCTGAAAAAACAATCAAGTATTTTTGTAAATTTTATAAATAGTAATTATTCCCTTATAAATTTAATTTTAAAAGTTTTTATTTGTTAAGAAATAAAAGATTCAATTTTTTTTTTTAAAAAAAATAAAATAATAATAATAATAATTAATATAAAAAAGCTTAATTTTTAAGGACGAAAATTAATTGATTTAATTTAGATTTAAAGAAAAGAAATAAAAAATAATAATAATAAATTAAAGAAAAAATAAAAATAAAAAAATTAATTAATAAAAAAATACTAGTAAAAAATGGTTAAAGGTTCTTAACATCCCAAAGATTCTTCTCTCTAAATGCATGTATATTTTTATAAAAATATAATAATACAAAAATATATATTGCAATAATTAAAAATAACATTTAATAAACAAATAATAGATCAGATAATTCGTAGTTTCAGCTGCTAAATTACCTATTTCATAAGATGCCCCTGAAATTCTTTAAATGAGAGTTTTTGCCACAGACGAAGTAACTGCGAAAACCAAATTCTGGTAAAAAATAATAAAATTTTAAAAATCTAAAATAATAAATAAATAATAAGGTATAACATGAGAAGATTAAACAAAATTAAAAGATCATAAGGAAGAATCTTATCAGTAAATGAAATTTTCGAAAAAATTAAAGATAAGTTAAAACTTACGGAATTGCTCTTAAATACTAATCTAGAACTGCTATCCACAATATGTATAAAGAATTCAGAGATACCACTTTGAATGGTGCTGTTTCTTAACTTCGTAATAAAAAACTTTCAAATAATTTTTATATTATATTATAATTTTTATAAAGATATGGAAATGGCTGGTAATCACAGAGCTAAATTTGATACAATACAAATTATTAGAACTACCACTTTAACTAAGAGAAATATCATTAGAAGACCTAAATCTTTGGAAATGAGAGTAAATAATAATAATTTATATATGATTTTTATTTAATTTATATTTAAATTTTAGGATTCTAAATTAAAATTCCCAATCATTAAAACTATTCATAGACATTCGGATAGAAAATATAGAAAAGTATACTAAGCATAAAGACCTAAAACCTATGTTTGAGTATAATATTTATGCATTTTTAAAAATAAAAAAAAATTATCTGTGTAAGTTTTTTTTATTTTTTTATTTCTATAGATTTTATTTTATTTATTTAAACATACAAAAAAATAAATTTGGTTAATTTAATTATAAAAGTATATTATTTATAAATTTATAAATCATGTTAAGTATTTTAAACTTCCATAACTTCTAAGAAAAGGAAAAACATAAATATATAATTTATATTAAAATAATTAACAAAAAATATATATAAATATTTTTTTATTTTACTTTTTTATACTCTATTATTTTTATTTTTATTTTTATTTTTTAATAAATAAACAATATAAAAATATAAAAAATTTTGATATTTATAATATAAGATTTGATTATTTATTAAGAAAACTTAAAATATAATTAATATTAATTGTATAAAATAAAAAATAAAAAATATTTTAAAATAAAATAAAGTTTATTTCGAAAATTATAATAATTTTTGTCCATTATGTTAATACAAGAGTTTAAGATTTTACGTTTTTAAATAATTTTATATTGTTATTAATATTAAAGCTTAAAATATTTGCAAATTAGATATCAAAAAGATAAATTTTTAACTAAATAAAGGTAATTACCATATATAATAAATAAAATACTTAAAAATGATAAAATATTAACTAATTTATATGAAATAGTTATATATAAAAAAAAATTATTATTAATATTTTTTCAAACTAATATAATATTTTTAAATGAAAATCAAATATAAGTTATTTTATTAATATTTTTAAAATTTAAATTTACTCTTATCATTATTTAAAAAATATTTTAATTTTTCTAAAAACTATATATTTACTATTTATATTTATGGAAATATTATAGTAGTATAATTTAAAATATACTTACATAGTGATATATTATTTTAAAAAAAGGCCACTAAAAAAAAATTTCGATCAAATAAAATATTATAATATTTTTTGGGTAAAAAATAAAAATATTATTTTTATAAAAAGTAAATAATAAACAAAATCTGTTAATATATAAAAACCAAAATTTAGATATAAAAAATTAATATTCAAATAAATAATAATATCTTTTATAATATCTTAATATTATATATTATTAATATTTTTATAAATTTAATTATCTTATTAGTTATTAGTATACTAAAATTTATTATAATTTTTAATGTATGAATTATTTATTATATGCATATCTTAAATAAAATAAAAAATATTCTAGAAAATAACTTTCCATATATAATATAAAAAATATATAAATATTATTGTAAATATGTTAAAAAATGCTAATAACTTAGTATAAAAATATAAAATAAATATATATGGGAAATAAATTTTATTTTAATTTATATGGATAATTTTTATTTATTTTAATATAAATTGAATATAATATATTATTTCATTTTTAATGATAAAATAATCTATTAATTTTATTTTGATATTTTCCTCATTTAATTATAAATTTAATAAATATTATTAAAATAGAAAAAAAAATACCCATGTTAGGTTTATATATAATTATATAATCTTTTTTATATCTAATTAAAAATATGGCATCAAATTTATTAAATAATTAAATTTATATATAATTTTTTATATTAAATTTAATTATATAGTTTTTTTCCATTTTTCCATTTTTTTTTATTTAATTTTTGAAAAAAATAAAAAAAAAAATATTTATCTGTTTACTTGCTAAAATAATTAGTAATTAGTAATTAGCAAAGTCAAAATCTTAAATATTTTAATTTATTATGTAAAGTGGTATTTTATTTATTCTTTTTTTAACTAAATTAAATTGGTCTTCTAGTAAAATACACATATATATATATAAGTGACTTTATTTATATAAAAATTATATAATTAATTTTCATTATTAATTAATATTATTAATAAAATTTATATTATTTTCAAATTAATTTTTTAAAATAATTATAAATTTAACAGGAATATTTTCTTTGAAATTCATTAAAAAACAATAAAAACATTAATAATGATTGAATATCTTAATTAATACTGCAATAAAAATGTAAATTTTTTAATAATATAACAATATATGTATATATATATGAATAAAAATAAAATCCTTAATTTTATTTATATAATTAAGATAATTTTAGAATAATAAATATTTTAATATATTACTTTATATTATAACCATATAAATAAAGGTAAATTAATTTATTATTTAACCAAAAATAATAGATTTATGAAAATGAATTTATTGAAAATTATAAAATCGGTTAAGGAGGATTTGCTAACGTGTTTTGCGTTTAACACAAATTAGATTAAAATTTATATGCTGTTAAAAAAATTAAAATTAAAATTAAAGATTAACTAAAAGATCTCTAAAAGCATATCCAAAAAATAATAAGAGAAGTTAATATACTATCCTAATTAAATCATTAAAATATAATAAAATATTATCAAAGTTGGATTGAAGTGACTGAAAAAAAGCAAAAAAGATTCTTTTCAAATTAATCTATATTAAATTAACGAAATTATATATAGGAAAATATATAAAATGAATAAAAATAATCAAATTAGACTAATAAATTCCTCTTATTAATAGATGAAAAAGATGAGAACATATAATTTTAGGAAGATACTTCTTTCCTAAACGAAAAAACTTTAAAAAAAAACTCAATTCATCAAAAAAATTAAAAAAATTAAATTTACCTTTATAACTGCCTCCAATAATGAAACCTAAAAAATTCCTTTCCTCACCCGAAATCTAAATAGACAAATATGACAAATTAATACTTTTTTTATAAATGGAGTTATGTGAATAAACATTATCTGATTATATATAAATCAGAAATAAAAAATTAATAAAATAATATTCAAAAAGATCTAATAATTAGGAAATATTCCTACCATTAAACCATAAAAAAGAGGCTGTGAAAATCTTAAAATAAGTAATTTAAGGATTATCTTATATTCATAATAATTCTAATATTGTACACAGAGATCTAAAGCCTCAAAATATATTTTTGACTAAAAAAAAGAGGTTAAAATTGGAGATTTCGGACTTGCTAAAAAACTTATTCAAGCTAAAACTTAGGATAAAAATTTCCAATAATCTATATTTTCCTCTGAATTAAATTCTCCTAATTAATAAAACGAATAAAATTAATTTTTTTATGTTAATTACCTTTCTATTTACCAAAAGAATAAATTTCTACCACCTGTGGAACTGCTACTTATGCTTCTCCTGAATAACTAACATTAAAAGCTGATATATTTGACCATAGGGCCGATATATATAGCTTGGGTATTATTATTTTATAAGTACTACACCCTATGAATACTACTATGGAGTTAATAAAGACTATTCATTAGTTAAAAAAAGGGGAATTACCTGAGATTTTTTGTCAGAAATTCTAAAAATTATCAAAACTTATAATTAATTGTTTATCTAATAATCCTATTTAAAGACCATCTTTAATATAAATAGAATAAAGTTTAGAAGAAATTGAAATTACTGAGGAAATAGTTTAAAATTAATTTTTTTTGGGGAATTTCTAAGTTTGTTTTAAGGAATAAAATATTAATGAAAAATTAAATAAAAAAACTCTAAAAATATTCCAGAGAAAACTTTGTATATATTAATGCTAATAATCCTCAAAAGCAGAATATATATATGATTTGGGTTAATGTGATATTCTAATTAATTAAAATTAATAATAAATTACTTTAATTCATCTTTTGATTTAAGATATTCATATTTATAATGAATAAAATAATAACATATATAATATTTACTAAATTTTAATTCAAAATTAATTTTGAATTCTTCACGATTATAAAAATGCTTATCTTTAATAACTTATTTTATTATTATTATTTTTTTTTAATTTAAATATTATTTTAATAAATCATATTTATATTATATACTTTTTAATATATTTGGAATAAAGTTTTATATTTTTAATATACTGAGAATTTTTGTTAATTAATTTCGTAATAAATTATCAATACTTTAATTTTTATCTAAATTTTCGTTTAAAATTAATATTATTAAATATCTAATTATTAAAAAAATAACAAAATTGTATTATTTTATAGTTATAACTGCATAATTTGTTATCTTATACTTTAAAATATAAAGAATTTGGTTATTAATTTTTTTTTTTATATAGTAAGAATTTTTTTAATTAGATCATAAAAAATGCCTATTTTTTATTAATTTTATCATTTTACAATAACCTTATTATTAATTTTTAATGATATTAAAATTAATCACATTTTATTTTTTAAACCTTTATTAAAAATGTTATAACAAAATATACCTAAGACGTTTATAAATTTTTATTCTAATTAAAATTTATAGATTTTAAACTTCTAAAAATACGTTTTAGAACTATATTATTAGAATAATTCAATTTTTTAATTGGATGATTTTAAATATTTTATTTAATAAGAATTGTGGACATTAAACATACTATAAAAGCAAAGAGTGTTTAAAAATATATTAATTTAATAATAATTAATAAGTTTTATATATATTTATTTTTTAATTATCGTATTTAAGGTAATAAATGATATTAATTTACTAATTATTATGTGAAATGATATTTTTTTAAACTTAATTTTTAATATAAAATATAAATTAGAATAGATTTAAAATTTTTATTTAAGTTCATTATTTTTTCAAAATAAAAGTATTCTTAAATATTTTGTATTGAATATAAATATTAAGTTTCTTTAAATAACTTAAATATTCTATATTATATAATAATTATAATATAATACATTTTCTTATTATTATTTTTAAAAAATAAAATAAAATATCGATATAAATATTTTTTAATAATAATCAATTAGCAATTTAAATTATAAATATATTAGTTATATAATTTTATTAATCAAACTATTTAATTTTATTATTTATTAGGCTATACAATTATTTTTATTATTAAATAATTTTATATATATACTTTGTTTTATATAATATTTAATTTTTTAAGAAAAAATAATAATTTCAATCATAATTATTTTAAATTA